TTCGAGGTTACAAAAACAGCAACGAAATCAGTTGGAAAACAGGGATTGCACGAGCGAAAGGACACGTGCACGAGGGTACACGTATCCCGCCGTGCGGATGCTGTACGCGAAAGGTGTTTCCCCTGTTCCACGGCAGGATAGAAACGTTAGGGTTTTCATTGGAATCTGACGATGCCTGCGGGAGCTTACTGCCACGGGATTACCAGAGAGACAGTTGGAAATCCGATCAAAACAAATGGACTGCGAAAATACTGCCTTTCTCTCCTGTTATTACCTTGCCCTCCCTTCCCCCCCCCATCCTCCCCCTCGTCTCCCGTCGCATTTAGAATCCAGTCGTAAGCGGCGCTGCTTACAGACCGACCTGGATAGCCAGCGACTCGCGGATTTTCCCCACAGAGGGGAAGACAACCGGGCGTAATTTTCGCCCGATCGATAAGAGGAATTTCGCTGATCGTCGAGTGAATGAGCGACTCCGGTTTCTTGCGATCTCTCAGGCCTCGTTCGTTTTCACCGTTTAAATGAGAATAAGACTCACGTAGACGAGGACTCGGTGACTTCAGTTTTCAGGTGGTAGGTTGACAAACATGGCAGAGGGGCGAGGGAGAGGCGAGTCTCGTCTCGAGGGTGGTTTTGGACAGCGTGGAACGTCGATTGCCACCGGGACGAAGGGAACGGGGCCATTATCACGTAACAGACGGATTCGAGTTTGAAGCGTTCCCACGTGGAATTTCAAGCGAGACGCGTCGAACGTGTCCCATTTCGAGCCTGTTCCCCCCGTCTAACCGAGGGTTGACCTTGATGGAGAGACGAGAGCCCGCAGACTTTGAGATTGCGGAAATCTAGGGGAGAGATTCTTGAACGTCTGCTCTCGGAGGAGGAGAACGTGATCTTAACATAGCCAAGAATTGTGGCACAATGCTTTGAAAAGCCGACAAGTAGACAGTGCTGTGCGCGTTAAGTATCATTCCCTGTGTAACGACAAAAGCTTTGGCTTCCTCCAGCCATCAATTCAATTCTCCCTTTGTATTAAGTGATAAATTGGAAGAAATAAAAAATTGTCTTGTCCTTGCGTTTCTGATTCAGGCCGCGTGACGGGGAGAGCATCGCTCTCTCAGGGGGTGAAGAATCCCAGGGGATTAACCTGGAAAAGTCACGATTAGAAACGCGGTCCATTCTTCAGGAGGAGGTTGGGAGATAAAGCGAACTATGGCTGAAACGGCCAGCCGGGAAACGTGAAATCTATGATACGTGGCGACTTGGAGCGAACGAGAGCGTCGAATGAACAAAATCGGCTCCATAAATCTTCTTAAATGCCCGAGCGAAATTATTTGCGTATGACCGGGGGAAGGGGAGGGGTGAGGGGTGTCGCGGATGTAAATTGCCGCGTTTCGACTTCCTGCTGGCGCCAGGAATCGCGATAACATCGATGCATCGGAGCCAGTGGTGTAAAAATCGGTAGCTGCTTACGCCATCACGTGCGATCGTTCGCACGTACGACCGTTTTTATCCTCGCACGTCCGAACTGAATTGTCCTCGCGTCCCCTCTCCTTCACCTCCCCGAAAAAAATACACAAAAAGAGGATACAATAAAATAAAACAGACAGAAAGGGACGAGGGGGGGGGGGAAAGGAGAACACGAAAAAAACAAGCGCGCAAGGATCCTCGTCGTGGATATTCGGTCGTTTATCGTTCGGGTTCGACGGCCAACGACCGATCGAATTCATTCCCTCTGGCTGAATACATTGCAAATATAATGGATACTGGATTATAGGAATTTTTTTTTTTCGCGATCCAAGCCAAGCCAGATGCGGGATTATTGTTTCATAACGGGTTTCGTGGATTTTTCCGGTCTTTGTTTTTCCGCGCGACAATGTGATTCGATGAAAATTGGGGTCACTCTTGAGCCTATCGCGCGACCAAGCGATATCGCGTGGAACATAGCAATCGTGGTCGTTCGTTGTTATTCTCTTTCTCTCTCTCTCTCTCTCTTCTCCTATTAAATCTACCGTGTTATCCACAATCCGGTATTAGATAATGCACGCTGCTTTTGCCAAAAGAAAAAGAAATTGCAACGCCGTAGAAATGAATTCGTACAGTTTTCGATACGAAGAAAGAATGAATCTGAAATTCAGAAATTCCGCGAGTGTCAAGTAGTTTAATAAACATAAGAGATTCCTTTTCTTGTTCTAGGCTTTCGAGAAAATGTAAGGAAAAGAAGCTCGGATTGCTCTGTGAAGTCTGTGTTGCTACGATATACAATTGATTTTTAAAGTTTCTCCACGGAATAATAAAAATTCACGAGTGAAATTGGATATGTACGGCGTATAAAATATATATTCGTGAATATCTTCGGCTGTTAATTACCGATTGGAAATCTGTCGACGAAATCTGCGAGACAACGAATCTCCGCGTCATTCTTCTCCACATTTCAAACCTTGCACGGCTTTTGCTCCGGGAAATATACAGTTATTTGATAATGCAGAGAAATATTTCGACTCCTGACAGTTCATTTTCCCCGCGAAACATCGATGACGAACGAGGTTTTTAATCGCAAACGTCTATTGAAACGGTGCAAATATGGAAATGATCTATCGCGATGTAACGAGATATGACGTTACATCGGGGCGAAAGAGCGGAGATACACATCTGGCTCGAGCGTGCAGATACGCTCGATTTATACAACGCTCGTAATCCACCAACTGCTGTAATATTTGTAATTGACATATTCGTCACGTTAAAAACATGGACGCGTTTT